GAAGGCCTCAAGTGATCCTTCTCCTCTAAAAGATAATTATAAATTTAGAAGAGCAAGGCCCTCGGTTGTAAACGTATAGCGTGTGAGGCGCTATACTGTAGCTTGTGTATAAGTGGAGTTTACTTATAGTAAGGTAAAAAAAAAAATCAAATATAAAATCGTCTTATTTATTAATTATACGAGATAAATTAATAATTAAAAAAAACTCAGAAAGTAGCGAGAACAGTACTTAACTTCACCCTTAATTTTACTCAGTAAAAATGCATTTTATAATAAAATTTATAAATTAAACTTATAAAATACAATACGAATTTTTAAATTTTTAATAAAATAAAATTCTAAATCTGTAAATTTATTTTTTTTAAAAAAAGAAAATGAAACGTATTAAGGCGTCAATCAAAAAATACATGACGCGTGATTTTTCCACCTCCTTACCTGTTTCCCGACTGACGTCACAAGTTATAGAAGTAGTAAAGAGCAAGTAGCGGTAGAGCCCCGCCTCTTCTATCAACAGTCTCCGCCCAAACGCTGGTATACTCTGTCTATTATTGATGAGTGTTGGTGGGCCGCTAAGGCGGTTCTTTACCAATGTCACCGTCTCCATAAATGTTATACTGTAAAAGTGCTTTACGACTGACAACACATAACGTTATTTAGATATAATATTACATTGTTCTTTAGGCATTTTTTTTCCTCTTTCTTCTTTCTTACATGAACAATATCTTAATTACTTCTTCTTCCGAATAATGTTAGTATTGTTTTGTGTGTGTGTGTGTGTGTGTGTTTTTTTTTATTATTCTTTGCGGGTTTATTGTGCTTTTTATGCGATTTCTTTATCTGTTTATGTCTTAATTAAAGAATGACGTTTCATTTCTTTGGTTTGTGTGTTTTTGGATGATTTTTTTAGATGAATTTTCCTACTAAATTTGATGAAAATTTAGTATTTTGTTTGTTTACTTTCGATTTTAGAAGGATTTTTTTTTAAATGTTAATTAGCTTCTGTGCGTGATAAAAACGATTATTTCTTTGCTAATTTGTGTTTTTTTGGATGATTTTTTAGATTAATTATGCAGCAAATTTGATAAGAACTGTTACTCTTCTGTTGATTTGTGTTTGTAGAAAGAATTTTTAGGTTAATTTTGCCTTTAAAATTCACTAAAATATAGATTTTTCTTTGTTAATTTGTGTTTTTAGAATGTTTTTTTTTTAGATTAGCTGCTATTTATCTGAGTTTTCTGGAAGTATTTTTAGATTAACTTAACTTCTAAATTTGATTGTTTTAAATTAAAATTTCCTTTGTTCGGTTGTGTTTTTTTTTAAAAGATTTTACATTAATTTCAGCTTCTAAATTTGATTTATAATCTAACAAAGACCAATATTTTATACTTGTTTATTTTTTGTGTGTTTTAGAAAGCAGATTTTGTAGGTTAATTGTACTTTCACATCTAGGTTTACGTGTTATTTTTAGAAGTATTTTTTAAGCTTTGTTTATTATATAATTTTAATGAGATTTTTTTAGGGTTAAAAACGAACGTTTAAGGCATCTACGATAAAGATTTGCATCAACAACAATGCATCTTATCATCAGTTAAATCAAAATAATGCATCCTATAATTCACTATAACAAAATATACGGATCTCTATCATCATCTGTATAAAAAAAAATGGAACCTAAGTATCAATTGCATCAGAAAAATATAGTCTTATGAGCAACTGTAAGTATATTAACTTACAATTACATTAAAATATGCGCCCATTAATCAGTTACAATTTTAAAAATTGGATTTTAATCATCAGTTACGTTAGAAAACTTGGGTCTTAATTACATTAAATATGAATTCTAAGCATTATCTTCATCAGAATATATGTATCCTAAACATTAGAGTTCAGAATTTTAGATGCAAATAATCGTTATTTGCATTAAAAAATAGATCCTAGTGATCCTGCACCGAAAACTAAGGCTTATAATCCTATTCCTTGCATCAGAAACATGCATAAACTACATGAAAAAATAATGTTTCTTATCACCATTCTTTGCATGCATCTTATCATTATTTTATTTGCATTAAAAAATGGATCATAGTAATTTTGCACCAAAATCTAAAGACTTTATCCTCGAAGATTCTTTAAATTTCAAGATTTCAAGAGAAGATTTCAATGAGTTTAATCTTCGTTGCATTAGAAACACGCATAAACTGCACCCCCCAAAAAGGGTGCAGTTTATGCGTGTTTCTAATGCACCTTATCACCACTTGCATCAAAAAAAAAAAAAAGAAAATACACTTTGCTTGTTTTTGATTCAATTCTTACCATCCCACTGCCCTACTCTTAAAAGAAACACAATAAAAAAAATAATATATATCTATATATAAACTTTAGTGCAACTAATAAAACGTTTAAGAGTGCAGGGAACCAAATAGGCAATATGTTCTAAAAAAAATCCCATAGCAAGAGAGATATATATTTGTATTTAGACCTACTTAAAAGTTCTACGGATAGGAAAGTGTAGCGTGTGATAACATTACACACGAAATAGAGGGAATTGTTTACATAGTAAAAGCTTCGGAATTTCTAGGTATAGAATTACACAAATCGACTCCCTTTACGCTTCTAGCCACCAACCAACCACCTCAGTTCTGGAATACTAAAAATTCTCCAGCTATAGAATCATGTTACAACAGTCATAGCATGGCAATGCCCGGGCATTTTTGTTTTTACTTTCTTTCTCTCGTTCTTACCCTTATTGTTGTCGGTTCTTTTTCGGGGGAGGATTTAGAAAGATTTTGACTGGACACCGCGACTTGATCCTCTTTCACACAAGCTTCTTTGTTCTGTTTCCACTAATTGAGAATGTAATTAACTTTGTGTAAGTTAAATGACAAATAAGTTTGTGTGCGTATGTGTTTTTTTTTTCCTCTTCTGTTCATTCGATCCTTGTCACTGATAAAATTTATGGCATTTTAATAATAATATTTTTAAATATTAGTTTATAAAATTAAATTTTATTTTTTTTACAACATTTTGATTTATATTGTGAAGTCTTTAAAATATTTTATTTTGATTAAATTTTATATCTTAAAAAATTTTTTTTTTGGTTTAAAATTTAATTACATTTGTTATAAACTTGTTTTTGTTCTAAAATTTAATTCGATATTTTAATTACTTTAATGTTTTGTTTTTAACTTTAATTTAGTTCGATTACGGTTTAATTTTGTTCAGTTTCATTTTTAATTAATTTACATTTTTAAATTTGTTCAATTACAGGTTTAATTAAGTTCGGTTTCATCGCTTTAATCCATTGTTATCTTAATTTCGTTCAATTTCGATCAATTTCATTTAAGTATCTTAATTATATTCAATTTCACTTTAATTTCGTTCAGTTTCACTTTAATTAAGTTCGATTTTAATTTAGTAAAGTACATTAAACAATAAAGCGATATTTTTAATGAATTTTTTTAGAGAAATAATTCTTTAAATTTATTTTTTTAATTAAAAAAAATAAAAATAATAATAATAAAAAATACATATCAATGCGTAAAGATTTATCGAAGGAAATAGATCGATGTCACGAAAACGTTTTTTAAATGTTCAAATATCATCACAGATGTTTTGCAATGTTGCCTTTTTTTTTCTAATATATACTTTAGAGCAATGATTGATGTTAACTGTCTAAATGCTTTGATGGCGGAACTTTGTCAAATGACGTCAGTCTCTTAGTTAACGAGGACTTCTCACACACACGCACACACAGACACACATACACATCGCACAATTTTCCACCTACGCACATAATATGTAACCTTACACTGAAATTTTGAAACTAGAAATCATCTTAAACTTCATATAATATGAATGACAAACCTTGCTAAGGACTGATCTTTCGTCCTTCTGAAAAAAAATCATGTGTTTTTTTTTGTTTATTGGTGATAAGAATCACGTTTATCAACAACTTCTTACCACGTATAAAATCAAAATTTAACAATATTTATAAACATTTTCGCTTAAAGTAATTTTTTTTAAAAAAAAAAACCTCTGATTATTTTATAGAATACATTTAAAAAAAATTAAAAAAAATTAATTACCTCCAAAGAAAAGCATTATTAATTACTTTAACATTATCTGATTAAGTAATTAAATTAATTATTTTTCAAGCTTAATGATAAAGTGTTTTTTGATAATTTATTACGGTTATTATTGTAATTTATTAAAGTGTTTTTAGATGCTAAAAAAACATGATAAAGTATCTTCAGCTGAAGGTTACGTGATAAAATATTCGTTTAAATAAGGTAAAAAATAAATAATTAATTTTTTATGCCTTGAATTTGTTCAATTAAAACTTTAATTTAGTTCAATTTTAGTTTAATTCATTATCGTCTTAATTGTGTTCGATTTCATTTTTAATTTTGTTCAGTTTCATTTCAAGCTGAAATTGAACAAAATTAAAAATGAAATTGAACACAATTAAGTTAACAACGGATAAAACTGAAATTGAACGAAATTAAATCTATTGTCATCTTAATTTTGTTCAATTTCATTTTAATTCTTTGTTCTTTATAGAGGATTTGACTTGTTAAATGGCGTGATACTCTCTCATCTAGTCGAGGCTTTATTTATGTAAATATATAATAAAAATAAAATAAATAATTTTTATGAATATATAAAAATAATAAACATCAAAAAAACGCTTCAAATAAAAATTAAAGTTTATTGTAAAAGGATATTTTCGACAATAATACTGTATAGAGAAGAAATCACTAAACGTGATTATGTATTTTAATATAGATCTAATTAAAAAACAGACAGATGAAATGTGCCTTGTTGTTGTTGTTGTTTGAAATTTTTTTTTATAGGAACCACATAAGTTTCCTTCATCACAGCGCCAAGTATAAGAATTACAAACGAATTATTCATATATCTGCTGTATATACACACACATTATATATATATGTATAGCTTATGTAAGACAAACCGCATTTATACAATGTTTTTTTTTGTTGTTGTTTTTTTTCGTAATTTTCTTTCTCCTCTCATCTTTATACACTTTTTGGAAATCAACCCGAGGCATTACAATAATAATTTAATTGAACACGAAAGAAAATGATGTGTATAAACGTTACAGATGTGGTATGCAATACGGGAGCACTTCAGAGCACTTTCTGTTCATGGATCGTGTTTCAGTTCCAATGCCCAGACGTGTTGTGGCCATCCAGTTCTTCCTTTCGATTTCTTTTCTGTTCCGTTACCTGTTATGAGGTTTGCCTAAATTAAAAAATAAAATAAAATCAAATAAAATAAATTTTAAAAAAAAATTTAGTATCTAATCTATACAATTTAGCATCTATAGAAAGGTTAGATTAATGTAAGAAAAATTGAATTAAACTGCCTTTAGATCTAAGCTAGATAGGATCAGATCTAATTTCATTCTGTTTGATCATAATAGGTGGAGTCAGTGGAGAGAGGGGGGATGAAGCATGCAGCTGTTTCTATCTAGGAAAAAGAAAAAGCCCTACTTTGTAAAACGTGTCTACTAGAATTATAAGTTATAGTAAAATGGTTACGAAAATTCTTTAAGAGTGAAAGATTAAACATTTCATGAGATGATTTATTGTTATTTTTAAAAGTAGAAAATAGTTTTATTTGGATTATCCCACAGTATATCATACAATCGATCCCCCCTCATGTTTTCTTTTTATATAAAATGGTAAAAGAGAAAGAAAAAAAAGTGATTTTTTGATGGCGGAAGACATCCAGACACATGGAAGTCCATCCTCATCTCGAGCATCAATAAGTCAGGAGGCAACATCCCGGTTGTCATAGCAACGGTTGGCATTGGTCCAATCTTGTGCTGTTTTTCTCTCAATAGGCAGTCAATTTGTCGGGCATTAGAGCACAGTACATTTTGCTAACAGCCTTCACTCTGGTTACCAAAGTTTATTTGTTTGGGTAGTTCTGTACTAGTTTGCTTATGCATCATTTCCAAATCTGCACCCATTTTTATAAATATTATTCTTAAAGAATCAATCATTTTACCTAACCAAAAATAGATATTATCCCTCCACAAACGGGAGTTACCATCATTAAAATTTTGGTTCCGTACAAGAAAATTACGTTATAGAGTAAATAAATGACGAATAAATCAATAGAAGGGAGGCAGCAAGCTTATACAAACAGTAATGTTTTGTATTGTCATTCTATCCAAAGATTGGTATGGGATGTATGCGGCAGGTGCATAATATCTGTAGTACATTGGTGACTTTAACACTATGGAATTTAATAACGATTTTAATGAATGTTACCAAGAACAAGGCATATGTTGCCTTGTTCTTTTGGTAATTCTCCATAACAGAAAACCAAAATTTTTACATTATTAAATGTGAAAAATGTAATATTTTAAGTTAGAATTTTGATAAACCGTATTGTACAAGAAAGCATTTTAAACTTTCGTAACATTTAAACAAATGAATTTCTGTAGAGGCCCGAGAACTACAAGCTTAGCTTATAATTTCACAAATAATCTAAAAAATATTTTAAAAATTTAATTTTTAAGTACTAAAAGTCGCATTCAATAAACATACTGATCTTCCTCTAAGGCCTGTTGTTATAGCCTTATGTTAAGGCCTTTATACACTGTAACAAAGAAATTCCTCAACAAAATTAAATAATAAAATTAACATCTTTCAACAGTAATATATATCAAAATAATTCAAAAATAATTTCAACTTCCATTACAAGCAATGGACGTGGGTAGAGGAAGAAGAAGAACTCATTGAAGATTATAGGCAATAAATAAAAATTAAGCATAGTTTTAAACTGTCCAGCATAATTTTTACAAGACAGAAAAATTACAGAATAATATTACAAGATCATAAACATCAATTGTCAGAAAAAAGTACAGGGAGCAGTAATTTCAGTTAACAAAACTTATAATGTCTTTGTAGGTTCGTTTGTAGATATATCTTTGATATAATTGACGTGAAACGAAGCAGATGTATCCCAATGGGATGAACTGTTTTTACTTGTTAGCGGTCAGGCAGTTTTGATAAATTGTCAAGTGCAAGAAATCTTCTAATTCGTTTCGGGAAATCCTTTATACTTAACTGTTTTTCTTCCCCCTCCTTCGTATTCTCCCTATCTATTAATATTGATCAATTTTTTTGAATATATCTTTTGATAGATGTGTTTATTCTCATCCCAAATGGAAAAATTAAACCGTAAGGATTTCTAGATAAAAAAAAATTCGAGTCGAATGGATAAAGATCTAAAATGAAACAAAAATTTATATCGTGTAAGGTTCTAGAATAAATTAAAAAATTAATTTAACGTGAAATTAAAGGTTCTAGAATAATAATCGAGTCGTATCTTTGTAATTGTTTCTAGAATAAAATGTCCGAAAAATTATAGTTTGAATTAAAATCTATTTCGAATCTGTAAATACTGCATATAAATTTTATTTTAAAATTTATAGAAAAATTCATATTTAAAATTGTAATCAGTTTCGTAATAATGAAAATAATTACATTGTTATGTAACAATATAAAAGATTCAATTACAATTGAAACTGATTAAATAGTAATAATAAATGAAACTAACAGCTGATAAATTCTAGAAAATATAAACAGAAATTGACAAGATTCTCTATAATTTATCTAGAATTTTTAAATTTTTTTAACATTTATTTTCGTACATAGACAACGCTTTACGGCTTACTTTTTAGCTTAGCTTAGCTTATGGCCAAGAAACAATTTTAATGTTCTAGAAGCTTCAAAATATTCAAATTAATTATAGAAAAAACACAGTTAAGAGTATAATACATTAGAATTTCAATTATTAATTATTCTAGCACAATCGATCTAGAATCGAAATTATTCTGTAGAATTTATCGTCACATATATACGAATTCTAGAAATTCTAGAATTTGATTAAAATTAAATTATTTTCAATTTGAAATAATTAATATCTTAGAATAAAAATTATAAATGTAGAAGGCCGAAAATAGCATTTTTTAAAATAGTCATAGGCTAGATACATAATCTTAGTTCGTATACCGGAGTAGTTTTTATGTTACTGAAAGCAAATATAAATCATTAAAAAGAATTATTTTGAACGTATCAGTATCAAAATCGGGTAAGTTTAACAGTTGCAGAAGCAATATATTTATTGTTCATCATTTATGTATTTTTAGAGCATATTTCTAAAACGGATAGGCTCTTTGCCAAAGCTACGATTCGTTTTAAAGAAAGAAATTTTAAAGTATTTTACTTAAAAACCAATTATAACCACCTTCGGGCTTTCGGGAATTTTGTTTAGAATTATATTTTTAGTTTAAACCGAAATTAATTCTGAATTTAAACTCTAAAGTCACTAAAATTGTTCTTAGGAAGTTTTTCTATTATATCTAAATTATTTAATTCAATAATTGAGTTAGTAGATCTTTGGCATATAAATAAAGTAGTCTATAAACCATCAAACAGTTCCAAGAAGAGAATAAAAATAAGATAATTTATTAAAAGTAAAATGATTTTTTTTTTGTAAAGATTAACTGATAAATTTCTTTTTATAGATTTAATTTATAGTAGGCCTTTAAAAAATGCATATTCTAAGTATTTTCTGTTCTAGAATACACATTTTTTTAAGTATTTAAAATCAATATTTTTATAATAATACAATTTTAAAGAAATTGACGATTAGAAATATCAATTGTTTCATTTCATTTATAGATAAAACACAACAATGAAATTTTCTAGAATAAATGAAATGGATATGTTTTAAAACGAATTCATTTCAAACAATTAAACGAATTAGTTTTAAAACTGATCTATTTCAACAATGAAACTTTTAGAATAAATGAAATAGATCAATAAGTTTCATTATTGAAAGGGATTAATAAAATTTCGTCATTAGTTTGGGTTCTAGAATTTCAATTTTTCTAGAATTTATGACACTTAAAAAAAAAAAAAAAAGTCAAAACAAACTCTTTCACACTTTAAAAAAGAAGCAGTTACACGACTATTTATACCTTTATCTTATACAATTTATATATAAATTTAAAATAAACAAAGTCTGGACTTGATACATTTATGAATCAAACAATAGATAAAAATCAGTCAAGCTTAAATATCGCCAAAAAAAACCCTAAAAAATAGATTATTTTAAGCTAGTGTCTCCATCTATTGAGTAAAATTCTAGATTTAATACCTAAAAAAACAAAATAGAGTTTTTTAAAATGCAAGAAATAGATTCAATTCCTATTTCTAACTTTGAATTTAAAAAGTCTTCTATAAAAATAAACATATACAATGCAATTAACACGGCTCTCGCTTATTTTATGCATATATAAAAGTGTATAAATATATTAATTTTTTTTATTTTTATGGCTGAAATTCTTGTATATACATAATAAATTGAAATTCGAAACTATAATGGATATATAAACATAAAACGTGTGATATATACCGAGATGAATCATCAATGCAGTTGCTTAAAATAATAATTCTGAAAGAAGAATAAATAAAATGTAAACATTAATTTAAAAAAAAAAAATAGAATTAAATATGAAATTCAAGACTTAAAAAAGTCCTATGTAGGCCTTCATTTTCTTATTCTATCGGATCGAGCCTATATAAAGAGTAGCAAAGATAATAATAAATAAATCTGCTAAACACTCTTACACTCTTAAATATTTTTATTTTCAAGTTTTAAGAAGTCATATCGTATTTCTACTTAGTAATTAATTTTAAAAGATTTTTCTTCTTTTATCGACCTAGTCAAAAATAGAATTCGGTTTCATTCAATGGACCTTTCTATAGCACTAAAGGATCATATGATATCGAAAGAAAAACAACAACAACGAAAAAATATATATTTTATTACGTCGTCGATATTCCAAATTTAGATTTAATACTCCATAAGACTTAATAATCTTAACTAAAACTTAGTAATTTATAGATCTGCACGATACTAAAACAGTAGGCTACTGAACAACACTAAGCGCTTTATAATCCTGCACAGGACTTAATATGAAGGGTCGACAATCCCGAGGAATTTCTGCTGTTCACAGCAAGCTAGAATCTTTCCTAAATGTTTTCAACTAATAACTACTGCATACTCTTGTATAGGACTTGATACTCTCAACTAAGACCTTCAGTCCTTCATAAGACAATACTCTCAAATAAGATGATACTTTTATAGTGTTAATATTTAGCCAATATTTAATGCTCTTAAAAAATACTCCAAAAAAGAAAGCAAAAAAAATAAACAAAACTCGACATTTGGACTTACAATTTCTTTTCTCCTCCTCTCTTCTCTAGACTCTAATTTTTTGGTGAGTTCCGCTTTGAAACCACCTTCCGGTGCTCTCCCCGGATCATCTTGAGCTAACAAGTCCATAAGATAAGCAATGTAACTAGTAGCGAGTCTCAAAGTTTTAATTTTTGATAATTTCGTATCAGCTGGTACGTTTGGAATGCAATCTCTTAACTCTGCGAATGCATTGTTGATACTTAGTGTCCTCCTTCTTTCCTTCCTGTTTGCCGTCACTCTTCTCTTCACCACGCGCACTCCTTGATGTATCTGAGTCTCTTCCTGTACAATCATGCCATTCTGTGCCACGGTTAACTGATTGGGGCTCGAAACGTAACCGGGTGGCGGGCTGTAATCGGTGCTCGCCGGTGACATATTTGGGCTCGTGTTGTAACTCCAGGCTGACGGATAGTACGATTGCTCCGGTACGTTAGCTGATGATTCGTAACGAGTTTGATAGTATGGTGTATACACAGTGTCGGCAGAGGCGTAAGCCGGTTGACTATAACCGCCAACCAGACTCATGGCGCGCACAATAATGCTAACCAGAATCTGTCTGGTTTCTGTCGCGTTATAAGGTCTCTCACTGAACTATCAGCAAAATTAATGTCTCTTTTAAAGGGAGCCACCAACTGATGTTGCCAGCTGGTGATGGTTTTTTGCTCGATTCCAGTTCGCTGATTCAACTGTATCGCACGTCACTTATGCCATTTGGCTCCACCCTCTTGTCTCCAAACTCCTCCCCATCCGTCCCATGTTCGTCATTGTTCACAAGTCGGGTGTTTTTCAAAAAGGCATCATCTCGATTGCTCTTAGTATCGGATTTTGACTCTTTTTTTATTTTATNATAATTAAAAATAACGGATTTCATAACTTTTCTAGTTAAAAATTCATTTCAAATTTTTAACGGTTCTAGAATAAAATGTAGAGTAAAAGATTCTATAACGGTTTTGATTAAAAATACATTTCAAATTTAAAATACTTCTAGAATGAAATCTACAATAAAAATAACGGATTTAATAACTGTTTTGATTAAAAATCCATTTCAAATTTCAAATAATTGTAGAGTTAAATCTAGAATAAACAATTATTAATAACGGATTTTATAACGGTTCTACTTTAAAATATAGTTGAAAAATTTATCAGTTTTAGAATAAAACACAAAATTTAAACGATAATATAATAAAATTCAAATCAAATCAAAGCTACTAAACAAATTCTAGAAGATTTTTAATATGTAAAAAAATCTTAGATTAAAAAAAAATAGAAGAAAATTCGAAAAAAAAGGGAAGAAATCACTTTGTTATAAATAGTGACTATCCCTATCACAATGTCCATTAATGATTATCTAGCAGAAGCTAGATGATTTGCAGAACCTTTTCCAAACGATGACTGCAAGCCTGATAAGAAGAAATGAAGAATATATCCATTCACCTTTAACTTAATTTACACAAAAAAAATATATATATAGATACATGTGATAGCAACTCAAAATAATTTACGTTTGTTTAAAATGTATAGATAGAATTTATTATATTTTGAATAAAATTGGGGAAAAAATGAGATGTTTTTAGAGGCAAGAATTTATTTACAACAATAAAAAAAAATTCCCTATCTGCCATCTTGATACTTTGTTCTCGTCTTTATAGAAACTCGGTAATAGATTTCTATCAATGGTGGAGGTTTAAAAATCATTTAAAATAAGGTAAAATATTTTTATTGTTTTGTAATTATTATAATTAACAGAGCAATTTTTCTTTTTCTGTATTATAGAATAATTTGTTGTGTGTGTGTCTCTTTAGATGAGTTGCAGAGGAATTTCTTAAATAGATGCTTCTTTTAAGAAATTTATTATAAAATAGTGAATTATTATGGATATTTTTAGATGACAAGAATTAGATTTTTTTATTTTTTTATTTATTTTTACGACACAAGGTCCTAATAAATTATTACACGCATTTTTATACCGTAACTTCTATAGAAAGTCGGTAATTTTATTTTAAATTTCAAAATTTAATGAAGATAAACGAATTCTAAACAAATTTAAAGTTTATTTTTAATTTATTTTACATGAAATTCTTGCATTTTAGATTTTTTTTCATGGCTTTGCACTTAAAAAAACCACTCTGATGCACCGCCTTACTTCAAATAATGACATCTAACTTGCACTTTTATAAGCATACAATTTAATTTTTTTTTTNTTTTTTTTTTTTTTTTTTTTGTGTTTTTTTTTTTTTTTTTTTTTTTTTGCAAATTTTAAACAGAAAGTACACTGTCAAACGTTGCAGTTCGATGAATATTAACACTTTAAAAATCGATAGTGTAATTATAATTTAGGGGGAAAGGATAAATACCTCGCCAACAGCTATCCATTACAATGTTTACCGCATCCTCATCAGGAGACAAATGGACTAATTATGAAGTTTTTAGTGGTTTACTCGGAACAGGCCATCAATCAGCCATTAATTTGAGTGGAAGAGAGAGGAGAAAGACATTGGACCAAACAGTCCCTACAGGCGACAATACAGACAGTAAATTCGTTACTTAATTCAATTTGGCCAACGTTTGGCCATCGTGCACCAGACCACGGCCTCAACTGATTCTCCCTAATTCAATTACCTAGCATATCATTTCTGTTATCGCATTGGAGGGAAAAGCTATTTTCTCTCTTCCAATAGGCTCTCATTTCTCTAAGCTTTTGTAGTGTTATTCTTTTACTTTCTGAAGCACCTCTGCAACGATTCGCAGATGCAATATCTGGATATGGTAAAGATTTGTTGACTTTTAAGTAATTCGGATGTTTTTTCTTATCGTTATACTCTTACTATTTTCCATTTTTTTCTATAAAAAAATACAATAAAAAAACATATATAAATCTACCGAGCGTGGTTCTCACTTAGTTTCAATCAGTAAAAATTCAGGAGCAACTATAAAAACTTCACAGGAGCCGAATTTATACATTTCTTTCTCCATTAGAAACGATGGTAATTGCATATTCTGTTGACTGCAATATCAAATTAAACATATTTAATATGCAAAAATCGTTCGTTGCCTAATTTTCCTAAACGTTAACGGCTTCGAATATTGGCTGTTTAAAAGAACTTACGATAATGTTTATGTTATAATTCTGTTACGATAAAAATATATCTATATACATTTATAAGCTATATTAATTCCAGTGATAATATTCTACTGTTAAATATCACGAATTTTTCTTATCCTTATACTTTATTCTCAATTTGCCTCATTCCTCTGCTTTATTTTATTCTCAATTTGTCTTATTCTAAAGCTTCAAAAACACAATTTCTATCCATTATAAACAAGCAATTTATCAATATATAAATTTAAAAAATAATAATAATAGATTTTAAACTAATAAAAATCGAATAAATCTACATCAAATATCTTTTTAACTAACAAAATACTAATTTATAACATCCAAAGGCCTATTTTAGATTAAATCTTTAAGAAAAATGAGTTTAAAAATTTAATTTTTAAGTACTAAAAGTCGCATTCAATAAACATACTGATCTTCCTCTAAGGCCTGTTGTTATAGCCTTAGATACTGTACATTATTTGCCATGAATTACTTGCCGTGAATTAGCTGCTGACTAATTTATGACATTAATACTTTCCACAAATTACCTATTAAAGACTATTTCNGTAATTTATCTCGCTAAACGTCGATGCCATTAGTTAATTATCGAAATAATTAAAAATAAAATAACTATCAAAGTGTTTGAAAGAGAATTTTTTTTTGTATCTAAAAAAGAAGAAAAGACCTACTTTTTTCATTGAGAAGTCGCCAGAATTATGTAGGCCTAAATAATTAGATGTGCTTGAAGAGTAATATTCGGACCGCCAAGTTCCGTCTCTCAGAGCATTCTGTAAAAATACAAGCCAACGCCAAAATATCAGAACAATTTAAAAATTCCTTTTTGTTTAATTAAAATATCTTTAAATCTCAGCGCCAAGTATAGGAATTTCGAGCCATTATTAGTAACTAAAATTTATATACAAGTTATGCGCCAAGTAAGGAATCTTTGAAAAAAACCATTCTGATTTTAATTTATGCGCCAAGTAGAAAATTAATCAGTAGCATATTTTAAAATATGCTTTAGATAAGCGCCAAGTATCGAATTTGAATTAAAACCATCCGATTTTTAATTCAGAGCATTTAAAATAAGCTTTAAAACTCGGCGCCAAAGTATAGAATTTCGAATAAAATCTTCTAATTTTAATTTACGGTAGTTAAAATTTATTTAAAATTCAATGCCAGATGTAAAATAAATTTGAAAATTCTTACGTTTTAACGGTTTTTCTTTTTAAAATTGGAATAATAATTGTTAATTTCCAACACAAGGAAAACATCGAAATGCACTCACTCTAATCATTTAGGCCTTAATTTTAATACTGGCTATGGACAAAATTATGCTAATTTTATTTCAATTATAGGGGGGAAATATTATATGATAAAGAAAATAGAAGGCCTATCATATATATTAATAGATTATTATTAAAAATAATTATCTACTACTGAAATATCTGCGTACTAGACAGCATTTAGTGTTAATTTTAAGCATTTTTAAACTTCTAAACAGTAATTTTCTTTCTAAAAAGTTAATTATTACATGTTTCTGGTCTCTTATATAACCTTACAACTTCATACGACCTAAGCAAGAATTTTAAAAAACACAACAAAATTTATTTGATATCCGAAACCATAATATAGATATCATGTTTCATAACACATACACATTGTATTAATTCTTTACTGATGAAGTATCTGCTATTTTTTTTTTAAAGAAATAAAATACAAGATGAATGTGGAATGCTAAACACGCTTACAAACTTGAAAATTACTTCCAGATAATGCTACAAATCGATTAAGTTTAAGGAAGATCAAGATGCGAATGATCGATAAGTTGTATCAAAAATAAAAGTTTATTCTAAATATTGATAATGATGTTGATTTTTTAGGTTATTTTTGAAATAGGAGGATATATAGGCTATATATAAAGGTACGCATTAAGTTTTAAGTGGAAAAAAGATTAATCTAAATGGACTAGAATTAATTTTTAAAATAGTCATAGGCTAGATACATAATCTTAGTTCGTATACCGGAGTAGTTTTTATGTTACTGAAAGCAAATATAAATCATTAAAAAGAATTATTTTGAACGTATCAGTATCAAAATCGGGTAAGTTTAACAGTTGCAGAAGCAATATATTTATTGTTCATCATTTATGTATTTTTAGAGCATATTTCTAAAACGGATAGGCTCTTTGCCAAAGCTACGATTCGTTTTAAAGAAAGAAATTTTAAAGTATTTTACTTAAAAACCAATTATAACCACCTTCGGGCTTTCGGGAATTTTGTTTAGAATTATATTTTTAGTTTAAACCGAAATTAATTCTGAATTTAAACTCTAAAGTCACTAAAATTGTTCTTAGGAAGTTTTTCTATTATATCTAAATTATTTAATTCAATAATTGAGTTAGTAGATCTTTGGCATATAAATAAAGTAGTCTATAAACCATCAAACAGTTCCAAGAAGAGAATAAAAATAAGA